ACTTACATGCTAGTGGGCCTGTCGTTGGGGGGAAAGAGTCCTACACACTTTCATGCTAGTGGGCCTGTCGTTGGGTGGAAAGAGTGCTACACGCTTACTTGATAGTGGGCCTGTCGTTGGGTGGAAAGAGTGCTACACACTTACATGCTAGGGGCTTGTCGTTGGGTGGAAAGAGTCCTACACACTTACATGCTAGGGGCTTGTCGTTGGGTGGAAAGAGTCCTACACACTTACATGCTAGTGGGCCTGTCGTTGGGTGGAAAGAGTGCTACACGCTTACTTGATAGTGGGCCTGTCATTGGGGGTCAAGAGTGCTACATACTTACATGCTAGTGGGCCTGTCGTTGGGGGCAGAACACGAAGACATTCTCAGGAAGTGACTCCGGAACTTGCGGGCACTTAGGAAGTACAGGTAGAAATTGAGCGCGTGCGTTGAGTCGAAGAGAAGGAAGGCGATCTGGCTGCACAGGTATTTGATGGCGTGGCCCAGCGACCTCGGCTCGACGTCCCAGTACACATTGGCCACATTCAAGGCACACAGCGGAAACAGGAAGACGACGAACACGAGGGTAGCCGTGAACAGCATCAACATGATCTGCCGCTGTATGGAGATGTCGTAACAGCTTGACCTTCGGGCCAGCGGGGTGGAGTTGACGTTCCTGAGAGCGTTCCTAAGACGGAAGGACTGGCGGATCACTCGCATGATGAGCACGTTGAACACCGCCAGGCAAAGAAACGGTATGAAGGCAGACAGGGAAATGTTGGTCCAGTGCAAGTATTTCATTAGATCAGCTGAATCAGGGGTAACCAGGCACGTCGTGAACTCGGTGTTGTAATAGAACATCCACAGAATGGGGGCATAGGCGCCCGCGATGACGACTCCGACAATGCAAATCCACATGATTGATTTCCTGTAGCCGAGGTATTCCTGAATCTTGAGAGGATACCTGACGGCGACCAGCCGCTCGGCCGCCATCAGGACGAGGATCCAGTTGGCGTAGGAATTACAGAACGTTGCCAGGAAAATTAATATCCGGCAACCGGAAGTGGCAATGTTGATCTTGTCGACCAAGAGCTGGTAGATGGTAAGTTTGAGGAGAAGGGCCAGGTTGTCCATCACCGCCAACAGCACCACGTACAGCGTGAAGGAGCCAAGACTGCGCATGCGAAATATCGTCACAATGGAAGCCAAATTTCCGGGAAATCCAATGGCAAAAATTAACCAGAGGTAATATTTATTTATAGCCAAGGCCACGTCCTCTATGTCCTGATAAGGGTAGTCCGAATCATCGTTTGTGGAGTTGGCAGCGGATTGGACGCTTGTTACCACGTGATACGTGTCGTAATTTGTCATATTTAGTGACATCACAGCAAGTAGCGTGGCGTTCATTTTCAAGACTTCGCGAAAGAATAAAACTCTTTTCTGTGACTTTCTAATCACGTAGTGATCACAGACATGGGAAGGGATTTCATGGCAAAACTTGTGCCGTGTACGTGCTAGATATACAGAAGGACATGCAGCTGGACATGCAGGTGGACGTGAGTTAGGCTGTTAGAGAATTCCATCTTGTTGAATGCTGTGGTATTCAATGGTTCTTTAGTTATGCGATCATGAAAGTTGCAAGGCTTACAGGTGAGTCACTAGGGACTCCGCTAGTGACGTCAAGTCAATTCAGGCTGCCCTTTTGTAGTCAGATGGTAGCTCTAACGTGTGATATCTGTAAAAAAAAGAAGAATAGATATTGTTTTCTTTTCCTAGCTTGAAGAAGTCAATTAGTGATATTGGTTATCTAAAAAAAAGTAATAAAATATCCAAGTATGGCTTTCACAGTCCACATTACAGGTCCATTGATCAATGGCATACACAACATTCACAGGCTCAATTAGAGGTACATTGATCAATGACATACACAGCATTCACAGTCCGTACTAGAGGCACATTGATCAATGACATACACAACATTCACAGTCCGTACTAGAGGCACATTGATCAATGACATACACAACATTCACAGTCCGTACTAGATGTACATTGATCAATGGCATACACAACATCCACAGTCCAAACTAGAGGTACATTGATCAATGGCATACACAACATTCACAGTCCAAACTAGAGGTACATTGATCAATGACATAAACAACATTCACAGTCCGTACTAGAGGTACATTGATCAATGACATAAACAACATTCACAGTCCGTACTAGAGGTACATTGATCAATGACATACACAACATTCACAGTCCTTACTAGAGGTACATTGATCAATGACATAAACAACATTCACAGTCCGCACTAGAGGTACATTGATCAATGGCATACACAACATTCACAGTCCGCATTAGAGGTACATTGATAAATGACTAAAACATGTAGTTATTTTATTTATTGGTTTTATCTTCGACATTAACAATAATTTGCGCTCATGGATTCAAAAGATTGAAACGCAACGTAAAAATAAAAGGTTTCTAATAGACAAAACTAAATCTGTTTCTATGCTACTTTGGAGATGGGGAGGGGGGCTGTGAAGATGGAGTGTACCTCCATTCCATCTCTGATGGTAGGCTGTAACTTCCATTCCATTTTTGATGGTAGGCTGTTCAACATCGCTCGCCTTAGGGAAAAGACCATTGGGAAAAATGGGGATAACTTGTGAGCTGCTTAAGATCGCGCACAGAAGAAGGTCTGCAGTAATTGGGTAATCAACATTCCCGCGCGTGTAAAGAATCAGGACTGACCATTAGTCTATGTCGCGAAGCGATTCTTCTGTATGGCCAAGTCTTTCACTTCATTCCGTTCAGCAGTACATCATACAGCAACAGTCACCAATGCAACAAACATCAACCGGTTTGTTGTACACAAAAGTTTATTTAACACTACTCGATGAACAAGACTTGATGTATAATTT